ATGATACATCGTTATGGAGAAACCCAGACCAGGAAAATAGCAAAATTTCATCTTCTATCAGTCATAGTAAATTAAAACAGTGAGCTTTAAATACGAAAATGATCAAAAGTTCTTTTTGAATTAAGAAGACCTAATTCTTGGTAAAGTCTAGATTGTACGCGGCCGGCTGGAAGTGAGATATGCACATCAATGTATGAGTATTTTTTTTATGACACTATATAATAAGAATTAATATTTTAACAGTACTGTGATGGTTGGGTTTAGGGTTGGGGTGGGGGTGGGGGTAGGCATTACAAAATACACTTTATTGGGTAATTTAATAGATAGCATAAATAATACTCGGTACAACAACTGTTTTTACGTTACTGTGACGGTTGAGTTTAGGGTTGGGGTGGGTGTAGGCGTTAATAAAATACAATTAAAGGGAAATTTAATAAATAATACAAATAATTCTTGTTAACGTCAGGCCAAACCATATCCGATCTAGCAACAACCCTAATTCCTGTTGTAAACCTAACTTGACTATTGACTATAATGTCTATCAAATCTGATTATTTTGTTGAAATTGTGTTCCAGGATTAATAATAAATAATAATAATAGCAGACCTTTTTCACAAGACTGTTATGATGTGTTTAACGTTCATGATAAAGTTTTTCATATTTAGATTTGTAAAAATTGCATGAATATTTTTATGCATTCATGTATGTAGTATATCATCTTTGTGTCAAATTGCAAAAAAACGAACTGCCGTTTATGCAAGGTGTTTGTAATGCAGCTTTCTATGGGGCTGAGAGTAAATTTGACGTTATTCTCTCCTTTGACTGCCGTCATTATTTGATAACACCATCAGAGAGTTTTTCCTTTTATTATTTCAGCAAATAGGATTGTAAAAAAATTATTTGTTGTATTCTTCCATTCACTGCCCTCTAAGTTTACCCAACTATGACGTCTTCCGCTACTGAGGATCTGGAAATGTAAAAAGGTCCATGATAAAAATAATAATAATACTTCAGTGATGCCATGTTCGCACTTTTGCTACAAAATTGTAAACACTTTTTTAAAACTATGCTAGGCGATCGGTTTTGTTAGAGGCACCTTTGACCTCCATTATAAAACAAACAGTTTATAATTGATACTTTTTTTAAAAGTAAAATTGTAAATAACGCCAAACAGTGATTGTATAAAAATTTGAATTTTAGTTATGGGAATGTTATTTTTTTCTTTGTCGCTTTGGTACATTTATCAGAAAATTGTTGAAATTTGCAAAGCAGTAAGTGCATTTCTCAAAACAACTCATACAAATAGCAAAACAGCATGGATTATCCACAAGTCTCTTGCTCAAAATCTTTAGTTCGACTCTCAAAATTTTTATCTGTGTCCGTGAACATGTCAGTGCTGTCAAAATGACAAGTCATTGTGCCGCTTTGTAGGAATAAGACAGTCAGATTAATTAGTCATGTTGTCAGTATAACAGTGTACTCTGGAGGGATGTTCTGGTGTAAACTATGGCTACTATTTTGTTGACAATTTAAATTTGTTTATACAATTTTTATTGTAAGTTGTAGATTACATCTTAGTGTATGTGGGAGTTTGATTGCAAGAGATTGCAAGAACACATTTACGTTATTACTATTTGTGCAGTAATTTGTTGACAGACCATGTCATTTTGATACAGAAAGGAAAAGACAGCACTGCATAGCACAAAACAAAAAAATAGAAATGTGAACATAAGGCAATCTCCTTTGATATACACCTTTGTTAGAGAAAGTCGAGATTCATCTGGGAGCAACTGACCAATTCAGGACAGATTAAGAAAAAATTTCTAATAACGTTTTTTAGAAAAATGAATAATGACAAAAAAATAATATGAGAACCTGTTCAACCATTTCAGAGACGGATTAAAATACATTTTAATCAACGTGACATAACCAATTGATACAATTGATACCAATTGAAACAGCAGAGAATTGTACATTATCAATTGTATGGATGTACTGAAGCATTTGCAACTTCCACATCAGTGCAAAAATGATTTCTGCTGGACTTTTTATCAGATATAGACAAAATGGGTAAATCATTACTAATCATTATATATACTATATATATATATTAATCAGATAAATCATTATTATCATCCTCATTTTAGTTGGTACATTTATATACTGGAAAAAGCTTTGTTTGAAATGTCACTCATTTTTTCCTCTAGAGGTGCTGAAATACAATTCAGATGTGCAAGATGAAACTGCACCTCAAAATGCATAACGTCAAAAGAAAATCCAGTGCATAATTTACACTGCACAATTTAAATATTTAATAACACAGTAATTATTTAGATTAAGTCAGAATTGAGAGTGTAGTGCAGCTAATCTGATATTTTAGCACACAATTTTGATTTTATAGAAATTCAGAGGGAAATTTCAGATGAGATGTTAAAAAAAACATCAGTAAGACTAAAAATAACGTTATATTGTTACTGAAGTAAAGTTGGTTTTATATTCACACATTCGTTCAGTCACAGCTTGTGACACGGTCCCTATATTGTTTACCATGGTACTTTTAAATGAACAGTCAGAAATCGAATGCAAGTATGACTTCAAAACAACATTAGCACTATTTATTTGATGGTGAACAATGCTGTACTTTGACAGTCATCGGCTGCTAATATGATTTCAGTATTTAGAGTTTGCAAAGAATACTTTTCTGAAATTATAAATATCAAGAATCTGTGAATATAAAATCAACTTTACCCCAATTAAATATTGAAGTAAAATTTGTTTTATATTCACACACTTTCTCCCTAATAACATAATTTCAGAAAAGTATTATTTGCAAGTGAAATCAAATTAGAAGCCGATGACTGTCAAAGTACAGCATTGTTTACAATCAAATAAACAGTGCTAATGTTGTTTTGATGTCATACTTGCATGTGATTTCAGGCCGAATATTCAAAGTACCATGGTAAACAATATAAAGAGCATGACACAAGTTGTCACTAAACCAATGTGTGAATATAAAACCATCTTTACCTCATTTATTTATATTATTTTGATTCGGTGATAGAAACAGACTGTAAAACGACACCGTGTTTCTCCTAAAGCATGTCGGTGTAAATAGCACATTTTGACCCAGATCTCTCGGGCAGTGAGGAGTTAATCATTTCTGCCGCAGGGTTCAAATGTTTGGTCGATGCGACCAATGTCAACAGTCTAGCTGGCGCCCTGCGTGTCTGTGCAGAGCTCGGGTTTAACACTGAATGCTGATTTCCTGACAGTTCTGTGTCACTGACTCCATCCACAAGCCCAAGCAGAAGCCTGAAGTGTCCAACACGGCGCCTCAAACCATGCGTAAAATCCCCATGCGGAGAAGCTCGAGAGCGCATCTGTCACTGGTGCAGGCCAGACAGAGCTCTGAACACCGAGAATAAAAACAGCACACATAAGCACACATTTCACACTGACCTCTCCACCGGCATACAGCGTCGTCAGAACCGTGTTGGGGGCCAAGAAGTCTCGGTTTCTCAGGTTTTTGGCGCTGCTCTCCTTGAACCAGAGCTTCTCTCGCTCGCGGCTGATGTCCGCTTCATGTCCAGCATCTCCGCGTAGCGCGCCGCTCAGCGCTTTTACGGTGGACACGATGCTAAACGGCGCGGATTCCTCCATGATAGCACTCAATATGCTGGCATTGTTGTTAGTGCCTGAATTCGAAGACTGTTACTGGGCTTCACAGTTGAAGCACTGCGGTGCTGTGCTCCGATTGATCACCGATCAAAACAGATGTATGCATTGGGGACCGGAACGTTAAGGAACGTCACCGGTCAGAAGAGGACTGAAAATTATGTAACACTAGTATTTGCTTCCGACCTTCTGAAAGGCGCCATTTTGGGTGTGGCAAACCATGAAGGTCTTTCAGTGACAGAACAGAAAGTAAAAGTGCTTTTTTTGATAAAATATGTTTTGTTTATAAGCAGAATGGTATTATTACTATTATTATAACATGATATATTCTACACATTGCTTTTCCTGATATTACTTTCTTCCTGTTAAAATGTGTCATATTTTTCTTGCTTTTCTAATGAACACACATGACTTTAATTATTGTAAATCACTTTGTCTTTTAAAAAGGAAAAGTGTATTGACATTTGTAAAAAATATTAGAGCAAATGTTATTTAACGTTATGGTCACTATTCACATTCATTTCCATGGAAAACATTTTGGACGTTCTTCAATTTGTTTCTCCTTTTCTGATCTGAAAAATATCAGGATGAGTGAAAGATAATAACATTTTGATTTTTGAGTAATGAAATAATACTTAAAAATACAAAAAAGCATGCTCAAATTTGTTATATTTGTTCAAATGATTATAACCAAGTTTTACTCAAGCTAATCTATAAACAGGCTGAATTATGTTGCCAGGATAAACAGGTTTTAACAACTGACTCCTGACCGGAAAACACAGATATTTCCATATCAAACTACTCATACTGTAAATGGTTGCATAAGCGAGATCTGGTCACACTTCATATTTGAGTGCCGGTTGTTTAGCTTTTATTTGAGTTCTTCCGCTTTGTTTGGTGCAGGTAGCCTAACAGTTGCCTTTAGGAGCTGAACTTGAGCCAGAATGCATGTCACATGTTGTGGTTTACAGTAAGAATTGGATCTGGTCCCAGATCAGCTACAACATTGGGTCACATATTTATGTTATATCACAGTAAAATCTACAAAACCAAATGATCCTGCTCCCAACCTGTCAGCTATTGAACACACAAACCTGTCATTCTTCTCCATAACACCAGAATACTCGAAACCTCTTTAGGAGTTTGGATGACAAAGGCCCACAAGTAAATAAGTAAAACCCCACAAGTGATGTTATGACCAATGGTCTTGATTTATTGAAGAATATTAGAGACAATATTGAAACCTCTAATCAAACATTTCAGTCAGAAATTCTGTAGTTTTTCTAAAGTTTGTTAAATTCAGAAGACTTCTGATTGTCAGGAATTGATGCCAATCTTGGCTGACACGAAGTTCCCGGTGGCGAAACATATTTCTGGCGATCCGGGAGAAAACGTGTCATTCCAGATCAGCATCAGTAAATCAGATACACACATGGTTTACACAAATACACATTCTGTGAGTACTTATTCACAATTTTAAGCAGGTCATACCTCATACTCTTTACACTTACATTCAAAACCAAGTGTAATTCTCATTATATCTCAATGAGCTCCTGCAAGAAAGGAGGGGCACGGAATCCACAGACAGCTGTCAATCAATCAACCAAACAGCTGCATTATGGGTTCCGTTACCATCCAGACTGCTGTGGACATTTCACGCTGAAAAAACACGTCCAGCAACACACCATTCAACATTACTTCACAAAAAACATACATATTTGTTTAAAAAATGAAAATGAAGTGGCATTCAAACAGTCTTTTCCACCAGAAAGAATGACGCCTTTGCAAAAGAATTAAGCTTGTTTATTTATCTGGCTTCATCTGTAGACTTGTGTCTTGAAAAACCTGTTCCCTATCAGGGAAGAGTGGGCAGAGAGAGGGAGGGAGAGACAGGGTGAAGGGGGGTTATGCAAGTTAAAAGAAGAAAAGATGAAAAAAGGAGATTGAACATTACATAAAATTAACAGCAGAAAGTTAAGCGAAAGGAGGAACTAGCTGACTTCATTTTAGAAACGACAACCTTTCAAAAATATTCAAAGTTGATGTGATCTCCTCTCACTGTCTTTCCTTGTTTCACCTGAAGATTTCCTCATATTTTTACAAACTGACTAAAACAAAATGAAAGAATTAGATGTGAATCTCCACGAGCTTTTTCATATTTCAAAGCATTTCAACTTGCAAAAAAGAAGACAGGACAGCAAAATGAAAGAAAGAAGTAGAGAAAGGTGAAGAGAAATGAAAGAAAACCTTTCCTCTCAGTGATGAGCAAGCAGAGAGAAGGATATGCTGAACACGACGGATAAAATAGACAGATATGAAAGAGCTGGGATGAATATTTTCACTTTACCTGCTTCTGTCATTCGTCCTCTTCTTCTGCTCTCTGTCCCCCCTTCTCTCTCTCTCTCTCTCTCTCTCTCTCTCTCTCTCTCTCACTCTCGGCTGTCTGGCTTGTGTGAGTTTGTCAAAGAGCGTTTGCGTATTTATGCCTCCTGACTTCCTCCTCAGAAATCTGAGGAACATTTTCACTTTCACTTCTTCACTAGACTGCCCACAACCTCCCCCTCCAAACATCTCAATGTCTTTCCCTTCTCTTTTCTCTTCTCATAACTCCTGTCATCTCTGTCTTTTGATTTGACATATTTATCTCTGTTTTATGAAAAATTAACTCAGGTGATTATGGCTAACTTACTCAGTGTATTGTGGGTGCTATATATTTATGCACTTTTAATAAATAAATTAAATGAATTGTCATAGCATTTATATGCTGCAACTCTGATGATTTGAAATGCTTCATTCAATGCTGTTAGTCGCTTTGGATAAAAGCCTCTGCTATATGAGTAAATGTAAATATACAGTGCATATATGAGTATACCCCTCACAAATCTCTCATTTAAATTAATATTTTATACATAGGAAGCTTTACAATATATATATATATATATATATATATATATATATATATATATATATATATGTGCATATAAATTAGATTACCAGTGGAGTAAAGTAACAAATTACAAATACTCAAATTACTCTAATTGAGCAGTTTTTCTCAGGAATTATAATTTGCTCTTTTGAAAGTGTGTACTTTTCCTTTCTCTTGAGAACATTTTAAGTGCTGTTATCAGTACTTTTCCACACTATTTTCCTTCAACCTGCAGTCACTATTTAGTTTTTTCTTGATTGGCTAAAGTATAAAAATCAGTTCTGCGATTTCTGTCCAATCAAATCCCACATAGCAAGTAATTCAAATACTGAACAACCTCAAGACATGAGTACTTTATAAGTAAAACTTTTTATAGACTGCATGTCACTGATGTGAAAATGAAGGATGTCTACTGTATGACTGAAATCACCAAACAGCCTTAAACAACCATTAAATGGAACGAATGAAGAATGGAAGGAAGGGCCGAATGATGGAAGGACTGGACAAGGAATGGAAGAGCAAATGAAAGGAAGGAAGGACCGAAGTAATGAAGGAAGGATCAAATGAATGAATGAAGGATTTAAGTAAGGACTGAACAAGCTAAGGAAGGAATAATGAATGAATAAACAAAGGAACTAATGAAGGAAGGAACAAATATATGAACGAATGAAGGAAGGAACAAATGAATGAAGGAACGAACAAATAAAGGACAGAACGAACAATCAATAGAAGGAATGAACGAATATAGGAAGGTCACTAAATGCACAACAGAAATGTTACTATTACACATCCCTGCACAAACTGCATGTAAACGCATCAACTTTTCTGTGTAATACCAACTACTCACTACTCGAGAACTTTTAGAACGGCTACTTTTTACTCATACTTTGAGTAATATTTACAACAAATACTTTTACTCTTCTAGCACTACATTTTTGGGCAAGTAATGGTGCTTTTTTTCTACTTGAGAATGATTTTTCAGTACACTTTCCACCACTGTAGATTAGTCGGTACTGTAGTCAAATTTGAAGCTAATCTAACAAAATAACTTAACAGTTCAAAATTAGTACACTTAAATTTATATGTTAGGGAAAAATATTCAAGAGGAAAAAAAAATAATAAAAATTTGTTGAAATTTTGTAGTTTGTAATTTATTTATCCAATATTTTGCACGGTTTAATTGCATTATTTTTCAATTTCTAAAGATGTTTGGCGACTAAAATATTATTTTAATAAATCTGTTTTGTTGAAATGCACCAAAATATATGACCTATATTCAATGTGAAATGGATAAAAATATTCATTTTCAAAATGGGGTGTACTCATTTATGCTGAGCATTTTATATACATAATTTTTTAAACGTATATGAAAGTCATATATTTGCTAAAACAAATATTGTATTATTTTTATGAACCTTTTTTTTTTTTTTTTGCAAATAAACTTTTCAAATGTGCAATTAAAAAACATGAAAATGAATGATAAAATTAATTATCCAACTTCTGATACATTCATTTCTAAAGTTTAACACAGAAAAAGTTCCAGCTTTCCCAGACTGCAGGAAAGACAATACAGCAGAACACACCTTAATGTACATCTGTCAATCATTTCAATTCTGCTGTGTATTAAAGCGTTAAGAGATCTGGGCCCAGCTGGGCTGAGCTCACTAACGGGCCGATATCATATTTCATTCACCAGGAGCCACCTGGAGCTCCCAGCCCAACCTGTCCAGGTGCAGGTCCATTAGTGAGCTTGTGTGAACGCTTGTTTGGAAAGTCCGGTAGTTTTGGAGGTGAAGGCTGGTTCCCTTGAGACGCGCTTGCAAAATGAGGAATAGCGTACCAATGTCAAAGTCTGACAGCCACTTACCCACACACCCACAGATTCAGGATTTGAAAATCTATTTATTATGAAAAACACACTCTCAAAAAAACATGTTGTGAATTACATGACACTGGCACATTTTTTGTGAAGGTACTGCAAATGCACACACATACACGCACACCTGACTTTAATAGTCACTTCTCTTTTTTTATAACAAACTTGACACAAATCCCATTAAAATACAATACTTCCTGTTTCACACACTCAGCCATCCTGTATTTTCTCTTCTCCGGAGTGAAAATGGTCTGTTTATGGCTTATTAATGATGCATGTATTGTGGAGTTTATTAAACAAGACAACACAAGTATCAGTGGTTAAGAAATATATACATTTTTCCCAACAAAACGCCATTTTTTGACAGGTAGGGCTTCTGATACAAACAGCAGACGGCATGATCTCCCAATAAAGATGCACGTTCACATATATTGGCATATGCTGACAGACATTCACACATGGTTTCTCTCTGTGCTAAGAGGAAAGGCGGCTGGGAAGACGAGAAAGAGGAAGCTGAGGTTCTCTGTGTGTTCGGGTGGCTGTATGTGCAGAAGCACGTGTAGCAGAGTCCATTACTGGGGCTTTATGTGCATTTGGCTGTGCATGACTGGCATCTGTAGTGTCTTTTTTTAAAACAGGCGCTTCTCATAGCTGAAAAGACAAAGCATGGGGTCAATTAAAATCAAATGTTCAACAAAACATACATTTCAAAAGACTAAAGTTGATAAGATGTTTTTAATGTTTTAGAAAATAACAACAGTAATATTAATAAAACAAAAATAACTATTTTCTTCTCCTCAGTGTCAGTATAGGGTGCACATTCATGAGAGTGCTGTGCTATTTATGCATGTTGGAGTGCTGAGGTATTATCTCGGATGTGCCTGTGCTTTGTTTTAGACAGAGGAAGTCACACATGGGCATCACAGGGTATACATCAGGGCACAGTACACGAACACGTACCTTATACAGACACTGAGGAAAATAAACAGTTGAATAAAGTTGTTCATTTCGTTTTTTGTGCACATAAGTATTCATGTAGCTTCATTGTATTCCGGTTGAATCACTAAAGACATCTGGTCTGTTTTTATGATGATTTTTTGTACTTTTCTGGATGAGTCAGGACCACTGTTGTCTTCATTTGCTTTCCGAAGATGAATGAATGTCTCAGGGTGGAATGAGAATGTTTTTGGGTGAACTAACCCTTTAATTTATTATTTCTGATCTAAAAAATGTTACAATTAATGAAATATAACTGAATATTTGACGTTTTGTGAAGTGAATAGCACTTGAGCACCATAAGATAAAAATAGTTAGACTTAAGTCTTTATCCCGGTAAATATTTTATTCATTTTTTTCTTACTGATCTCAAACTGGAGCCACACAATATGAACAATAAATTGAGACAATGCTTTCATTCATTCATTCATTCATTTTCTTGTCCGCTTAGTCCCTTTATTAATCCGGGGTCGCCACAACAGAATTAACTTATCCAGCAAGTTTTTACGCAGCAGATGCCCTTCCAGCCACAACCCATCTCTGGGAAACATCCACACACACATTAACACACTACGGACAATTTAGCCTACCCAATTCACCTGTACCGCATGTCTTTGGACTGTGGGGGAAACCGGAGCACCCGGAGGAAACCCACGCAAAGGCAGGGAGAACATGCAAACTCCACACAGAAACGCCAACTGAACCGAGTTTTAGACAATGCTTTATTTACATTAAATTAAGTAAATTGATTGTGTTAATTCAGTTGAAGTTTATTTGTATAGTGTTTTTTTTTTTTTTACAATAATGTTTCAAAGCAGCGGTACAAATGGTGCCTATTACTTT